CACTTTGCCAGCCATGAAGGTGAAGTGTTTTTAACTTATAGGATCTATCTGAGAAAGGCGGCGGCGTTGTGCACATTATAAATATCTTGAAAAGGGACCAGCATTGCTTGTTGAACCTTTTGAATGTGTTGATCGGTCAGCGATATTGCACCTGAACTATCCACTATTAACAAAGTCCCATTAAATTCGCATATCAGCGTCGTTCACAAGGACTACAAACCTGTTAAGCAAAAAAAAACTCCTGAGCTTGGTATGTTAATGATAACTTTATCGTTATTGAAAGGGGTGAGTTCCTGCATTCAAAGAATATCTCAACACTGCCTTATCGAACATACCATTTACGATGTAAGTTGAAGAAAACAAATAGCTGGCCTTCATTAATGTCCCCCCTGCCGCGAGGATTGTGGTAGACTAAAGACCAAAAAGTCCACTAAAGCGACAAATACGACGTCAGAACTGAACTTTAGTCTGCAAAAATAGCTTATGTAGGCCCGCTCATATACCCCTAGTCCCGGCATTTTTACCTGCAAAAACATTTACAAAAAATGAATGAATGCAAGACCCACTAAGAAGACCCCACTGACAAGCAGATTTAGGTTTTTAAGCGCGACAAACCAAAAAGAAGCCCGTACTTTCTGAGTGCAAACGGTTTTTGTTTTTTGTCGCTGCCACTGAAAATTGGCTTCAGTGGTTATCGTCAATTTCTAATTCCTGTTTACCCAGAGCCTAATATTCTCAGTCACGATGTCATTTAAAGGTTGCTTGGTCTCCTATAGGTTTGCTTTTAATGAAACAGCAGTGCTTGATTAAAGAGTGAAAGAGATGCTTAAAGTCGTTAGTATGAATGCAAAAACCAGTTCTAGAACACAAGTAACCACAAGGAGATATGCTTCCTGGGAAAGTAGATTTATAAGCCCGACGTTTCAGATTTAGTCTCGGAGCAGTCCGGAAAGACAGCCGAATATAGAGGCAGCGGACGCCACGCTAACCCCACTATAATTAGCGACCTCCGCAATAGCCGCACTCTTTGTTGTTGGTGTCCGCTTTGACGGGATAAGGTATTAAACCTTTAGAGGAGGTATCGGTGAACTACTTAGAGATTTATTCGGTCGTTTGAAGCATAAGCATTTTCAATGAAAAGTATGCTCACCCGCGCGTTCCCGCGGGATTAATCGCTCTGCTGAAGCGCAATCTGAGCGCCGAATAGGGTGGAGGAAGGGCTGTTAGCCCACTGATGGACGTGCGACCAAGGACAGTGATGCTGGCACGTCCCCACCGAGACGGTTGTCAGCTCTTGCGAGGATTTCAGCCCTTATGTCAGGAATTAAATTGTAAACCGCGGACTTTTTGGCCAAATAAATCAAACGAACATCAATAGGAAAACCAACGAATAATTTAATTCTTTTTTATTGGTAGACATAGCTAAAGCGCCTTTTTGAAAGTGCGCTAGTTCTTTGCTATAAATGAAGCAGGCTCAGATGACGTGTTATGTTGATTGACACGCAAGAACAGCGAGATAAACACCACTTGGTGAAAGCAGGATTGGATTTTTTCCTTCTTACTGAAGGACATAAGACAAACAACTGATTAGCATTTCACAAGACAATCAAATATGCTTGTACTTGTCAGCAGTTATTTAAATAGCCTTCGAAAATAAATAAAATGCAAATATAAATTGTACAGATATACATTCTGCATTTCCAATGAAGATATTGTCGCGCATGTGCGTTAACCGAAGTTAAAATATTAGGTTTCCTAGTACACATTTAATTTATTTTCTGACTATAATATAAACGGCTCTTTTAAAAATAAATGCACCATGTCTTCTGAATAAACTCATGCAGCAAGAACTCACGTCTTTATTTGCCATGTCCTCGAAAGTAAACGCAGTTCATGCAGTAGGAATTCGGCAAAAATAAATTGGTTTGTTTCTATAAAACAAATATCCTATATGCGTTTTTTATGTTCCTTTCATCAAGGACGCTGTCGCTAATAAGACATTGGAAGATGAATGAAAACGTTTTATTGAACGTAATCTGCAATATTGGGACCAGCGATATCGTACTATAGCGCTTATTATATCACCGTCTAGTAAAATGACTTTTTAAAACGTTACAGTAAAATCCTTTGCTGGCAAATTTCAGGAAATAACTACGATAAATGCATTTATTCGTTTTTTTCCAGTAAATATTCATGCGCTTATGTGAAGATGTATACGTAACGAAGAATGTCAAGGCAAGTATGCAACCAGCTTTTCGCTCGAACATAATTCACACAGACAACCGGGAGGGTTGTCAATGCAGGTATTCATACTATCGTGCGAAAGTTTCAACATTGCAATACAAAATCACTTCAAATAAGCACAATAGGAGAGTTTGGCTACCGTTTCAAGAGTGTTGCTGCTTGCCTGGTGTCTTGTCATGGTCAGTGCGCATAGCCCCTTGCGTATTTCTAATTTAAAGGCCATTTATTTTCAAAAGGCCTGAGACCGGAAATGCAATGTCATCTAATATGATGAAAAAGAAAATATTTTTTTGAATCCCATCCATCTCCTTTACTAGGACATCTAAACGGTTACCAACGAAAACATTAGCAGCCTTCAGTAACCTTGTGAATCAATTATCTGATCAACATTATTTGCTGTTGAAAATCAGTTTAAGTATACGACGACAAGTAAAACCAAAGTCTGTCTGCATTCCTATAGGGAACGAGTGTTTCACCCAGAAAAACATGGCAGGAATCCCTAAAAAGACCATTTGTTGTGCCGTCGGGTTAGGTACGATAGTTTTTTGGGTGGCCTTGTAAAAAAATCTTGCGGTTCCCAGTCACCTAGCCGACAGTCAACCGTAGTGCATTTCGGCAAATTTATGTAAATTCGGTTTAAATAGTGCATAATGGTAGACAGTTTTC